ACGGCCCAGGGCCGGTCTCCAGGACGCACCGGGTCCCAGGACTCCGTCCCGCCGGGGACGTCTGCCCCCAGACGGGAGCCCAAAGGGCCCCAAAGCTCTGCGAGTCGCGCCGTCCGGCCACGTCCAGCGGCAGTTCAGTCGCCGCCGTCGGTGCGGTTTTGAAGCTCAGTTGCCCGGCCCCCAGGAGAGCTTTTGGAGAGCTGGGAGGTCGGGAGGCCTCAGCTCCCCTCTGCCCGGTCAGGACTTGCTGAAAGGTGCTGCTGATGCCTCGAGTGCTGCTCTCCCAGGGGTCTGAGGAATGTCTAGGAAATGAGGCTCCCAGAGCCCCAGATGGGTGCTGCCTCTGCCCTCAGCCTGGGGGCGGGAGGGGCGCTCCGCTGCTCCCCTCACGGCCGTCTTTGGCATTTTGTATTTAAATAGCTGTATGTACGTTTACATATGACAGTTTACATATAACATGTCACAACTGCCCAGACAACATGTTCTAAGGGCATGGTTTCTAAGTGGAAAATAGCAAATGTTTATATTCAATAAAATCAAACGCCTCCTGGGGCAGTACCCAGTGGAGGCGAGGGCACCCTGGAAAGGGGGGGCAGGGGGTCATGGCCAATGAGAGCATAGGGACAGCACCCATTACAGCTTCTGCACAAAGCCACCGAAGGCTGGCCACCTGCCCTGTGTCTGGGGCCTTCCTGGTGTCCTGTTAGGCGGGCGATGGGTGCTTGATTGGGACTCACACACACACACACACACACACACAGACAAAATAGACAGTGTTTTGGGTGGTGGAAAGTGGCGGGTCTTTGGAGTGAGAGCAGTTCAGATATCCGCTACTAGGTAGCCGTGTGAGCCGGGGTGCGTTGCTCACTGCCTCGATTTCCTTACCTGGAAAACAGGAATAAGAAGACTTACCCTTGGCAGATTTATAATGAGGATTGATAATAATATATGGGCAGCCCCCAAGCATTGTAGGGGGCACCTAGTAAGTATTCAACATTGCCTCCTTTCTATCTCTGATGTGCACCTGGTTTGAATGTTTTTGTGTGCTTTTTAAACGTGTATTTTTATTTAGAAAAGCTTTAAAGGCAGGTAGCTTCATTGTATCTGCTCAGTTTTTATGGCTAATTGACTTTTCATTACTGAGTCCTGGCCAGACATTGGATATCGGTGACATACCCAGGAGGCTGGCCACTGCCATCATTTTTAAAAAGTCTGGCCACCAAGCAAAGCTCTCAGAGTTTTTCTCATGCCTTTCCTTTCTTGAGTACAAATTCCAAAGTCCTCGCCTGATGTCCAGCGCTCCCCTTGACCTCAGCTTACCATCCCAGTCTTATTTCTAGCTTCTTCCACATGCTCTTCCCTGCTCCACCCAAGTCCCATTTCCCTCAAGAGGTCTTCTCAGGTAACTCCAATTGGAAGGACTGGCGCGTCTTGTCTGGTTCGCTCATTGATGCTCGTGTTATAGTTTATACATCTGCCTTTCTCACCTGCCAGGTAGGTCCACAGAGCGAGCACCGGAACTGGGTGGAGCCTTGACAGTCGTCTGGCTCAGCTGGCCTCTTCACCCTCCTATTTTTTATCTGGGCACCGAAGGCCCTGAGAGAAGAAAAGAGTTGCCCACAGTCACTCAGAAAGTCATTGAGAGCTGGGACTGCAGCCCAGGTTGACTGCTTTTCTCCTCGTCTTCTGCCCTGGGGCAGAGACTGCGTACTCCCCACAGGGCTTGGCACAAGGCAGACGCCAGCAGTTATAACCAAGAGAGTTCCCATCACAGTTTGAGGTATCTTCTAGGTGCCTGTTTGTTTTCTCAAATCCTCATGACAGTCCTGAAAGGCAGGTATAATTACTCCCTTTCCTGTAAGACTATCGTGAGAGCAGGAGATGAAGAAGCTTGCCTAGGGTGAGCAGGTCAGAGTATGTTTCTCCTCTGCTCAAAACCCTCCATGAGCTTCTTGTTACAATTAGAATGAAATCCAAGCGAAGGTCTCACCAGGGCCTTCAGGGCTGTCTGTGACCTGGCTCTCTGCTCCCCCTCTGACCTCATTCCCGGACCCTGCATTGTACCTGGCTACACTGGCCTCCTTGAACTCACCAAGTGTGACCTCCTCTCAGGGAGAGTCATGATAGCCTCCTGGTGATGTCATGATCCACCGAGGTGACTCTCCTGGTGGCCCCAGCAGGTCCGTGGCCCCTCTCCTGCAGCGACGAGCTCCATCCCACCTCTGCCACCCTTTCCATGGCCCTGGCCTAGGTTTGTCATTACGAGTACTGCACCCTTTCCATAATTTCAGTTCCAAGTACCCCACCATCCTCATTTCCAGCTCCCCTTCCTGCCCCCACCCCCCAGTAGTCCTACATAAACTGTTCTTCAACCTCACTCACGTCTCCATCCCTATTCCTGCTGCCTTGTCTCAGTCCCTCAGCCCTACTGAATGTGAGCCCCAGGACTCTGATCTGTTTACTCTGCCTTCAGCAGCTGAACTAGTGGACTAGTGGTCCGTTCCCTTCATTGCATAGATGGGACACCGGAAGATAGGCGTGAGCACATCTCAGCTGACTACCTAAAATTGTGTCCTTCATCTTTGCCTCCGCTCTCTCTGTTTTGTCTCCGTAGTAACACACATATTAGCAGCTTCCACACTGTAAATTTATCCCTTGTTTGTGGCCTGCTTCCTCATCAGAATGTCAGCTCCATGGGAGGCGGGGGGGGGGGGCACTTTGCCTTTTTCCTTCTGTATTTCCTGCATTTACAACAGCCTGGCACATAGTAGGTGCATGACAAATGTTTGTTGAGTGAATGAAGATTAAGAGGGCTGGATGGGACTGAGGACTGGCTGGTTGCCGAGGGTGTTCTTGTCCACCACTCCAGTGGTTTTTAAACACCAGTGGCCAGAGTGCCTCATAGTCCTGGAGAAGTCGGTAAATGCGCTGAGACTTGCTGACCTGAACTGTTGACCAGCTGTTATCCGGCAGAGCAGGGCCCTCATTGTAGAGGTTTCCTTCTCACTTTGATGGGTGGCAAAGCCCACAGGAATGCTGGGGCTTCTCTCAAGGCTCACCTCTTCTTCCAGTTGACTCTCCCTGATGCTCTCAGGCATGTCCCTACGTTTTCCCAGCACATGCACCCTTTTCTCTGTTCCCCCCTCCCTAACGCTCTCTGTTTGTTCTCTTTAGTTCAAGGCTGTGCTCTTACCTCTTGTTTCACAAATTCTTCTTGCCTCAGTTCATGGCTGACAGCATGTTTGTCTGGTTTTCCCAGCAGTGAGCGCCTCTGCAGAATTCTGAACACAAAGGCTAAGGGAGGAGTTGAGGCCTGTCTAGCACTGAGGTCTGGCTCCTTCTAGAGCAAAGGGCTCCCTTTACGCCAGGCTGAGCTATTCGGGAGGCATTTTTGCCTGGTCCTCGCCATTCGAGGATCACCATGGCCGGGCGAGGTGGACAGCCAAAGTTGCTGTGGTGGTTTTTACATGCAGAAGCTGGGCTCTAGGGGGAGCAGGCCTTCCCATTGCCAGAGTGCATCTTAGCTGGGCCTCCTGGGAATGCAGGTCTGGATGGTGGAAAGTTGCTTCCTATGGTCCTGGGTCCCAGCATTGGGGACTCTCAGGCTAGGTGGCTCCACTGTGTTGCCTGGGAGTATCAACCCTGGCTCCCCATCTGAGAAAAGAGGGGAATGAATACTGGCCTTTTGTTTGTTTTTCCTTCTGTTTGCTTTTAAAGCTTCATATTCTGTGGCCCCAAAACTAGGGCCAAACCCAGGGCTCCTGAGCCAGCCGCAGTGAGTCAGTTACCAGAATTTCCCTTCCCTTTTCTATAGAATGGCCCGACAACGCCAGCCTTCCTTTGCGCAGCCCACGGCGTCCTTGCAAGAGTCAGAGGAGTAGCTGCAAAGGGGCTGTGACACGTGAAGGTTGTATAAAAACAAATTCTTAGGCCAGGTTTTGGTCTTTGCAGCATCCTTGTGAGGAAGGCAGGATAGGAAGGCACATAATAAAGACCAGCAGCTGCCGTTTGCTCCGTGTCAGGGACTGGAGGGGAGGGCTAACAGGCGGTGCCCAGGATCCCGCTTTCTTCCCGCAGGGCCTGAGGAAGACATGCGTGACCATGGACCAGGAACGCCCGCGCTCTGATCTCAGCATCAACAGCCGGAACAGCCTCCGCAAGGTTTTGCACCTGGAATTTCTCTACAGGGAGAACAAGGCACGTGCTGTCCCGTGAGGTGGATGCTGGGGAACCGATGTGGGGCCTCAGAGCATGGGGCTGCGGGAGGTGGGTCACACCTGTGGCCAGGGGACACAGCCCCACCCGGCCGGCCAGGGCGCACTGTGCAGGCCCAGCCGGAGGCTCCTCATTCCCGGGGCTCCCTCCTCCCGCGGGCGGCTATTTTTAGGCAGACTTTACTCAAGACTATAGTGTTCAGTTTTACTAAAATTTTCCATTCCCCGCCTGCCTAAGATTTTCCTTCTTCAGTTTTGAGTAATACCTTACTCCTTAATTCAGGGGGAAGCCAGGCTTGGGTTCAGCTCCCCCAGGTGCACTGGAATTGCCAATGGGTGGGTGTGGGTGTGTCTTGTCAAGGTTATAATAGAGTATGTGTGTGGGTGTTTAATTAGTATATGCCTCCCCTACGGCTTTGAATGCAGCAGGAGGCCAGAGGTGGTGTCTATTTTGTTCATTGTTGTAGCCCACACTTGCCCTGTTGCCTGATGACAGAGTAAATAGTATGTATTTCCCGATCATGTGACTGACTGAATGAATGAATGTGTGGATGAATGAAGCTACCATTCTGACTTAATTGCTCTTTCTGTTATGAAGACAGAATTTTCTAATGGGACTTGAGAATGGCCTCTCCAGCCGATGTTGCCTTGTGGTGGGGCACAGTATCGGAGTTGGAAAGAATCTAATGATCATGCAGTTTAGCATTTATTACAGTTTTTTTTAAAGTCAATAAAATGAACCCTGCTGGGCATGGCTCAGCTGTTGAGTGTAGACCTAGGATCCGGGTTAGATTACCTGTCAGGGCTCATGCTCTGGTTGCGGGCTCGATCCCCAGTCAGGGGCATGCAGGAGGCAGCCGATCAATGACTCTCTCATCATTGATGTTTCTATCTCTCTCTCTCCCTCTCCTTTCCTCTCTCTGAAATCAATAAAGATATATTTAAAAGAAATAATAATAATAAAAAATAAAGTCAATAAAATGAGCCTGGCAGGTGTTCTCAGTGGTTGAGCACCAACCCAGGAACCAAGAAGTCACCGGTTCAATTCCTGGTTGGAGCACATGCCCAGGTTTCAGGCTTGATCCCCAGTAGGGGGCGTACAGGAGTCAGCTGATCCATGAAGTTTCTCTCTCATTGGTATTTCTCTCTATCCCTCTCTCTTCCTTTCTCTCTAATAATCAATAAAAACATATTTAAAAAAACAAAAAAACCCAAAAGGCAATAAAATGATATCTTCTGCAGAAGTTCAATATGAAAAACAAAGAACAGAAGCAGTCCTGTTTGAAGTGGAGATGAAGAGACCCTGCCTTCTTGGCCTCCTGGGGCTGCCCTTCAGGGCTGAGCTAAGCAGCTTTTAACCCACTGATAGAGAGGGCACCCTACCCAGGAAGCAAGGAGCCAGACAAAAGCAGCTTGTCAAGGTCTCACAGTGACTGGTAGGAGCAAGGCTAGAACCAGATCTTCTGATTCCCAGTCCTATCCTAGTAATGGCCGCCAAGCTCCCTTTAACTCTAACCCTTTTCTCTATTGAGATCTTAGCAGATTGAGTTGGTGTGGTGCTGGGACACCCCTCAGCCCTCCGAGGCTGTTTCTGAGACACCTGGAGGAACCTCCAAACAGCTTGAAAATCACCCTTGTGCACATACGTCACAGCCCAGGGAGGATCTTAGGCCAGGCTTCCCTCCATAAAGTGAAGGAATTTCAAGCAAACCTATAAACTGCAGCCAACTGGTATCAACCCACAGGAACGTTCAGGTGGCTGGAAGGTCCTGTGCTCCACTCGGAGGAGAAATGGCCACGGCAGCCAGGGGAGTCCTGTCAGAGGCTCAGTAAAGATATCACTAGATGCCTGTCATCCTCTGGGCCCCAGGGTGACACTCAGGCCCCTCCAACTCCTGTATGCAGCCAGCTGAAGTCCTGCAGAGAGAAGACTCTTGACCTAGGCAGCAGATATCCAGAGACCCTCCATTTGCTGCATTTTGGGGCAGGAGAGTGGACTGTACATTTTAGACAGATTTTTCCACCAAGAGTGAGACAGTTAACCAGAAAATTCAATTAACCATTTCGGTGCAGTGAGATTTTTTGCATGTAAATGCCTCTTTACCCAATTTTCTAGAAGAATCTTTGCCATTCAAGTTATTTTTATTTCTCCACTATAATATAGTCTCCCTAAGGTAACTATTATTTTAAGATACTCAAGATATTTTCATTAGATCTTGATAAGTACCCTGATTATTTGATTTATACAGTAGTTATTAGCTCTTATACAATGAATTGGAGCTTATATTTTACAGAAAAAATACTTATTATACTTATTAATCTGTCCATTGCATAATGACTTTGACATTCATACAAAGCTAATGTGATTCTAAGGAGGCCCTGCAATTTCATGTTAATTCCAGTAACTTGTCTTTAAGATTGGGGTGTAAACCAAGTCAATCCTGACTGCCTCTCTGTGTTCTTTGCAGTATAACCTGCTGCTGCATTTCCCAGTGTCCAGTGTCAGATGCAGAGTATACGAACTAAGAGAATATTTAGGTCCTAAATGTTTACAAACTTTGGAGTGAGCAATCCCTAAAGGCTTATTTTTTAAAATGAGGATATATATTTTATGAAGTTATTCATAGGAGAAACAAATGAGGAAATTTGAATTGAAATTGAATTGCTTGACTTATGCAATGGATGCTAGTTCTTTTAGGGTAGAGATTTTTGTCTTCATCTCTGTCATAACCCAGTCATTTACATGCAATAACAGGCAGTCGTGAAAGAATGTATGACTGAGAAGTTGATAAACTTATGTGAAAGAATTAGAATAGCCATCTTTTTCACCATTTTTCTGAAGCTGTACATGCAATTAATGATATATTCTTTTTTCACTGATAGGCAAAGGAAAATCCTCTAAAAACAAACCTTGAACTCATTACCAGATACTTTCTGGATCACTTTGAAAATACTGCTAACAATTTCACTCAAGAAACGCCAATGCCTGCACTTTCACTTCCAAAGAAAAGTAACAAATTACCGTTGAGATGCTCAGAGACCACGCTGGTAAATATATATGACCTTGCAGATGAAGATGGGGCATGGAGAACATCACTGTCAGAAACGAGCAAAGCCAGGTATCTCTCCTATTTACTCTGTGGATTAGTTTCCTCTTGCTGCTGGAACAAGTTACTATAAACTCAATAGCTGTAACAGAGTTCTCTAGAGAAACCAGTCGAAAGAGCCAAGAGGGGGTGTGTGTGTGTGTGTGTGTGTGTGTGTGTGTAAAGAGATTTATTTTTAGCTCATATGATTGTGGGGGCTGGCAAGTCTGAAATCTGTAGGGCAGACTGGCATGCTGGCAACTTAGGCAGGATTTCTGTGTTATAGTCTTGTGGCATAATTACTTCTTCTCTGAGGAACCTCGGTTTTTGCTTTTAAGGTCTTCAACCGATTGAGTGAGGCCCACCCATATTATCTAGGTCAGTCTCCTTTACACCAACTGATTGTGGATGTTAATTATGTCTTAAAAATACCTTCATGGCAATATATAGGCTAGTATGTGACCAAACAACTGGGCACCATAGCCTAGCCAAGTTGACATATGAAATTTGACCATGGTGGTCTCTTAAATCAACATGAATTTGTTAATCTTGTAGTTCTGGAGGTCAGAAGTCCAGAATCAGTCTCACTGAGTTAATGGCAAGGTGTTAGTAGGGCTTGTTCCTTCTAGAGACTTTGAGGGGAGACTCTGTTTGCTCTCCCTTTTTCAGCTTCTAGTGGCCACTTCCTCTGTCTTTTGGGCATATTGCCCCAGCCTCTGCTTCTGTCATCACACCACTCACTGCTGACTTTGATCCTCCTGTCTCCCTCTAATGAGGACTCTTGTGATTCCATTGGGCCCGCCCAGATAATCTAGACAATCTCCCCGCCTTAAGATCTTTAACTTAATCACACCTTCGAAGTCCCTTTTTCATGTAAGGAATGTAATCATAGATTCCGGGGTCAGGATCCATTTTTGTGGGGCCATCGCCCAGCCTCCACACTCTGTGCTTTCAAAATCCCTGTGGTGGAGAACTGGTGCTTTCCTCCAGAGGCCTTGGGAATGGACCACTTTTTGATGGAGGATGCTTATGATTTAAAAATTTAATTCAAATTCAGGATTCATAAGGGTCAGGGGCTTGTTTAGTTAACAATTTCTTAAATGGCAACAAAATACTGGAGAGATGGAGAAATCTGAAAAATAAGGCCTTTAGGAACTCTTAGGAAGAAAATGGATTGGCATTCTTTTAAAATTTATTTTATAATCCTCACCCGAGGATATGCTTTTATTGATTTGAGAGAGAGAGGAAGGGAGGGAGGGAAGGGGAGAGAGAGGGAGATAAACATCGAATGGTTGCCTTCTGTACATGCTCTGACCAGGGATCCAACCCGCAATCTGTTTGTGCCCTGATGGGGAACTGAACCTGCAGCCTTTGTGGTGCACAGGACGATGCTGCAACCAGCTGAGCCACCCGCCAGGGTGACCTGGCATTCTTGATCCAACCTCTGTTATGTGGAAAACTGTCCTGTTACATTGCAGCCTTAACACTCTGCATGTAGTCTCCGAGAGTGAGTCTCACTCCCTGGGAATGGGTGTTTTCTTCCAGGGCTGTGGAAAAACATTTCCTTTCTAGAGGGGAGCCAAAGCCGAGGGTGTGGGTGTCAAAAGATGAGGAACATTAAAAAAATTAACTCAGGGCTTAAACGTGAAAGTTAATGAGGGCGGCACGGAGAAGGTGGTTCCTCCTCCACAGACGCTCGCTGCCTGGCTGGGAAATGAAATATTTCTGAAATGATAAAATTCTGCAGTGCAGTAGCTGAAGCTCCAGAGTTCCACCCAGTTGCCCAAGCGCAGAAGGGGGTGCTCTGCTCGACTCCTCCTTTCCTATTAGCTTTGCATCTTTGGGTCCTTAATGAGGGTACACTCTCTCCTGCTTTCCCTGGATGACGGGGCTCTTCCCTGGTCCCAGGACTCCAGTGATCTCCTTGAATCCACCCCTGGCCTACGACAGTGTGGGCTTTTCCACGAAGCAAGTCTGCCTGCTGCTCTGCTGCTGAAAGGCCTCCAGACATTCCTGTAGCTTTCAGGATAAAATCCAAGCTCCTTAGGACAACTTGTAAAACCCTTTCTCCGGTCAGTCCCCACGGCTCACCTGGGCAGGTGCTGCTTTTACAGGTCTCTGGCTGGTACCTGGGGCCCTCTCCTGTTACCTCCCGCCTACCGTTCTTTCAGACTCAGCTGCTGCCTTCTCTGGAAGCCCTTCTGGATTTCCCCAGGCTGGTTCCAAATCCTTGTTCTGCCTGACATACCCCCATCATAGCACACGTGGCTGCCTCCCTCATGCGTGACCCAGTGCCTGGGAGGCGGCTTGGCATAGTAGGTGTCAGTGCCCCTTTGTGCCAGAGTCAAGTGGTAGCAAATAGCCTAGCCTGTGTCAGGAGTGCTGGCTCTGAGGTCATAGGCCAGATTCCTCCTCACCTGGGCCTCTGTCTCCTTGTCACTCCTGTTCCTTGTTACTCCTTGCTGCCCTCACTGTCTCTCAAGAACCCTCTTGTTCTCTCTTGTTCTCTTTCTCTCTCTCTTTCAATGCCAGGCAACCCAGGAAAGGAAGCCGTTGGCATGCCTAACCTTACCGAGCCGTAGCTGCCCCTTTGGGGGAGGCCAGGTTTGCTGCAGTCTCTTCACCACTCTCCGTGGCTCCACATGTCCCATGACCATACTGAAGGGCTGCAGTTTTCCTTAATCACTTGGGTCTAGAATAAGGATGCTCTTTAGAGGATTTAAAATAGTTGAGGAATCCTGTTGTGGATCATCAACTCTGATTTTGCTGCTTGTTTCCTGGTCTCATTTTGTAGGTCAGACTTGCCCTGATACGAGAGTAGTTTCTGTCCCTTACCTTTAAGGGTAAAGCACTGGCGGGCTAGAGATCACTGCGGATTTGTGAGTGGGTTTGCTGCGAGTGCCTGTTGAATGTGGAACTTATTATTGTGGTTAGTGATTCCTTTTGGAGAATATGTTTTAATGGAAATATTCCTCTTTTGCAGGCACGACCACCTTGATGGGGATATACTTGGTAATTTTGTATCATCCAAAAGGCCCCCCAACAGAAGTAAGCCGGCGCAGACTGTCCCGGCCGAAAGCCCGCCTGTGGCCCCTGCGTGGGAGAAGACGGACAAGGTCCAGTCGTCAGAGCCGCACTCGGACACGAAGAGGGTGGGAGAGAAGATCAGGTGCAAGTCTGGCCTGATTGTCCGGGGCATGATGGCCGGGCCCACCGCCAGCTCCCCACAGGTTGTTGCTCCTTCCTGTTTTATGAGAGTGGAAAGTGGGAACCTGCCAGGGTGTGGGGGCTGACTGCCTGGGTTTATTGGGTGGGGATGGAAGAGCACCTCCATGTGTTCTCTCAGGCTCTGCTGTCCACTCTGTGGGAGCATGAGCAGTCCACGCCTCCTTTCCTGCCCTCAGTTTCCCATCACGCAGTGAGGTGGATGCCGTGGCTTTGTATTGCTTTGCTGAGTGAGAACACATCTACCCAGCTTTATCTCGCAGTTCAGGAGTCAGGGGACTCATCCAAGTCTAGGGAACTTAGAATTGGTGGACCCTGGCGTTCTAATCCTCCAGTGTGTGCAGTTGAGACACCTTCCTATCAGGGGTGAAGGTGACAACTTTGATCTCCTTTACCACCAATGGATTGCCCCGAACTTCTTCTTATAGTGGTCATTTTGTGTGCTTTCCCTCTGGGGTATCTGAGTCCTGTGAAGGACATTGAAAGGTGGGTTGTTGCAGAATTTCCCCAGGTTTTCTGGAAGGCGTTTTGTGGGCCTTTGAGTCCCTTTGCCATACTTATCAGTTGCCCAAGAGAAAAGAGCAAGATTTGCTATTTATTTCATCAGTTTTCACAGTTACTAGGTCACTCTGCACTTACGAAGGATGAGTGAGAGGCTGGGTTCCCCGCCCCTGGCCAGAGTGCGGGTCTCCTTGGGAATGGTGACTGATGTTTTCCTTACTCTGTGGCAGGGGGTGCCCTGGGTGGCGTTTGGAGGAGGTTTACAGTGCCTAGTGATTTCCACTAGGTGAGAACACTGCAGAATTAGCTGCTCCTATTCCAGCGCAGGCTTTGTCATTTGGCTCAGGATTATTTCTGGAAATGCTGAGAGGTCTAGGAAAAGCCTGGCAGGTATATTTTTGTCCCCTAGATGGGTAACAACATGACTTAACCATTTCATCAGTTAATCGTGGATAGCAAGAAAGGACACGTCAGTTGACTTCTTTGGAATTCCTTCATTTCAAAAACTAAGCAAATCTTGGTGCCTACTAGGTGTAAGTCACTGAGTGGGAGCTGTGGACACGAGAGCTGAACGAAGAGTGACTTCTGCCACTCCTGGTCTACAGGCAGGAGGGAGATGGCCATAAGTAAGGCTGCAGACAGTAGCTAACATTGGTGAACCACAGTGATGGTTTGGCTCTGTGCTGGTGCCTTCGGCGGGCTCTCCTTCAGTCCTCACCATGATACTGTGGGAGGCAGGCACTCCAGGTCCCCAGTCCCTCCTCCACAACCTTGGTGCCTGGTGTGTTTTGGAATTTAGAATTGTTTTCCGGAAAAGAGATACAGTGCGTAAACCTTACACCATGTGACTCCTGTAGTTATGTGGTATGTGGTGTCTGCAGAGCAAAAACATTAACATGTCTGTAACTAAACATGAACAGTCACACTTAAAAAAGACTGAGCAACCTCAGGGCACTCAAAAAACATTTGTTACAGGATTCCAAAAGAAATTTTTGTTTTGGGATTTAGAAGTGACAGATAGTGGATTGTGGACAGGTTATATTACAGGGGAGGGAAGTGAGGCACTTTCCCCAGGGGACACAGCTGGTGGGTGGTGACACAGGAATGAGAACCCAGGCCTGACCCTGGAGCCATGTGTTTACCCCCCCCCCCCC